CGCACACTTATACAAATGTGAGTGTCTCACCCACAATGAATCTCTTATATATATATATATATATATATATATATATATATATATATATATATATATATATAAACATGTTTTAATGATTTATTTAAGGCCTTTGACGTTTATTTAAAAACAGGAATTGGTTGCATGATTCCACAGTTGGTCAAGTTCATTTAAATCAATTATTTTATTGTCAGACTTTACAGTTTTCCTAGGTTTGAACATCTCACTTTTACTTTTCTCAAACATTTCTTATCATTTTGACCAAACAGTTTAACGGGTGGTAAAAGTATTCCAGATACTTTTTCTAAAAGATAAACTACCATCAACTGTTGGTCATAAATTCAGAAGCAGTTTTTTGTTAAAATGAGAAACCAAACTTGTTAAATTGAGAAAACTCTTTTTTACAATGATATTTATTCTCTTGTTAAAATCCAAATCTTTTCTTGTTTAAATAAGAAACAAGAAGATGTTGCTATTTGATGTAGCAGTCAAACAGCAACATTTCTGGAATATTTTGAGTGTTGTCTAGACAAAACAGAGTGACAAGAAGGAGGCTCCTTGTCGTCATTTCGAATTTTTAAGAAGTCGTAATATTTTTATATCTTGATATAAGAAAAGTTTCTTATTTTAACAAGATATAAAATTCAGCTTCTTTTAATGATCTATGCAGCTCATTTTAAGTTCAAATTTTCTAGAATTTTTAAACACCACATTAAATACACATACATGTTTTAGACTGTATGTTTAACTTTGTGCCAATTAGAAAAAATCCACTTCAAAATTGCAAATAATTCTTGTTTAAATAAAATTTTAAATATAATCATTTCCCAGTGCAAAAAGAGCAGTTAAAATAATTCACTAGCAGCCTAAAATGAAGGAGCCCGTCTGTCCAGTCTCCTGTCTTCAGCGTCCCCTCACCATGTCCAGCAGCAGGTAGACAGACTCTCTGTTTCGTGTGGTCATCTTGTCCGTCTCCTGGCCGATCTTCAGGAGGCTGGACGAGGCCAGCTGCACATATAGACACAAACACACATTTTTTTGTAGCTTCATGAAACATTTGCAACAGAGATCTGCTAAAAATAAATCAACACAAATACTATTTTTTAAATCCTTTTTCCAGCCTAAAAGACAGCATTAAAACTAAAATCAAATAATTTCTCTGTCTTACAGCCAGGAACTCCTTCAAACGGTCCTCTATGCTTCCCTTGTGGATGGTGAAGAGAGCCGCAGCGATCTGATTAATGGCTTTGGCCAAACAGTGGATGTTGTTGCAGTGGCCTGTAGGGGGCAGCAAATACAAAGTGTTACCAGGAGTTTTCTTTTATTTTTAAAAAAAATTGAAATCCATCAAAACAGCTCAAGAGTTTGACTTCCAGACCTGACAAAAGCTTCATGTGGAACTGACAGAGCAGATTAAAAACTATGGATTTTTATGTATGTTTAATGGAGATAACAGATAAATGTGAAATGGGAATCGCCAGGGTGGAATTGTGAACTCGCAGGATGGTTAACACAGCGGTAATGAGGCTGTGTACAAAGAAATGGTGGCGGCGAAACCAATTGTTGGTCGAGACGCGGTCTGCATACCAACCAGAGCCGAGCCTCTGATAACTTATTATCCTCTTTAGAAGGCCCTTATTAACAGGCCAGCCTTTCATTTCAAGGTTGTTAGGAGGCGACGTCTTCATAATTCATCCTCTGAGTGACAAATGTCTTTGATAGCTTATCAAAAGCCTCATTTAGCTACAACAGAAGGACTGGACTGGGGAAAATGTTCAGTTGACTTTCACTTCATTGGTGCTTTTATTGAAATGCACAAGATTTAATATATCAAACTGAATAAACAAGCTAATTGGGGGAAAAAGGCATTTAAAAGATGGTGAGTCTTATTTGCCATTAAAAGTGTTAAATGCCGAGATTATGGTAAATGCTGCTCATTACTGCTTTTAGGCTGTAAACTGCCGTGAACTGTAAAGTTTATTATTACTTATTTTTGTAATTGGCATTTAAAAAAATCTCAAAAGTAAGCGGGAGGGAAAAACATTCACAGTCTCGAAATAATATACTGGTAATGGAAAAATTTGACATTTTTAGCGTAAATGTGAGTAATTTGGATCTTAAAAATATCAACTATTTGAAAGACAATGAAAATTCAACGTCGAGCCCGTTAAACTTAAAATAGTTTGATTTTTTTCACATCTTAAAAAGAATTACACGGTTTTTCATGTGCATTTTGCAGTATCGCATTAGAAACGGTTGATGGACATTGCAGAATTCAAAATAACTTCCTTAATTTTCCATAAAAGATGTTACACTCGGCTGAGTTAGTTTTTGGCTTTGCGAAAAACAGTTAATGAGGTAAAGTGGAGATGGAAACATATTTGCTGCATATGTTCTGATGTAGCGAATGTAACATTCAGAACATTCGCTACATGTTGTGAATGTTACATTCGCTACATCAGAGGTGTCCAAAGACTGTCCTGGAGGGCCGGCATCCTGCATGTTTTAGTTCTCTCCCTGGTTTAACGCACCTGGATCAAAGGATGGGTCATTAGAGGCCTAAGAAGAACACTGACATACTGAAATGGTTGTTCCTACCACCAGGGAGAGAAATAAAACATGCAAGATGCCGGCCCTCGAGGACCGACTTTGGGCACCCCTCCGCTAGAACATGTTACGACACTGGTCTGGTGGTGTAGACCTCTGGTGGGTCTGCACCACCAGAGGCATAGAAGTTAGAGAAATTTCAAAGTTTAAACCTCCAGCTCAGAGGGAAGGCATCTTTTTTATCTGAAATGTGTGGTCCATGCTAGTTTGAAAACACTATATCTCATTTATTTTCTGCATTAGACAATTTCTTCCTATTTAACTGATAGATTTCAGGTTGTGAAATATGGAAGCACGATCAGTTGTATGTTATGGTCCATGGGAGTCCCGTAGGGTAGAATACTGGGTCCACTGCTTTTATGTTTTTTTATTTATATAATCTCAACTCCTTTCTGTTGAAAAAATGGTCACAAGCAACCTAACAACTCAGTGACTCACCTTCGATGGCAGGGCTGTACTGTGACATCACGTTGCTGGCAAGGGTCGGCAAGGAAACGGCCACAAACACCATCAGCAGACATGCGATTTTATACTCCTCCTCTGGACTGATGTTCTCTGCCCAGCATCAACCAAACCATGTTGTTAGAAAACAGGCTGAGCTTGTGCTGACATGTCGAGTGTGTTTCCAACTTACCGCTCTTCTGGGAGGACAGCGCCACCACCAGGGCTGGGTCAATCTCGCAGGGTAAACCGGCAGCAGAGGACAGCTCGTAGACATTCATGGCCACCTGGTGACAGGAAACATTAACTCACATCAGCATGAGAGGAGGAAGACATGATGGTGTTACTTTGAGTGTGAATGTGTTCAACCTTCATGTCAGTCTCTCGGGGGATGTGGTCCTTGAAATCCTCCACCGAACTGACCAGGAAAGGAATGTGGCAAGACAACACCTGAAAGGAGGAAAGATCTATCTGTATTCGTCTCACATCGACG